GAAGGTTCATCTTCTGATTCTTGAGTTTGAATGACAGCTTGTAATTTATTAAACCAGTCTGGAACATTAGACTGCCCACAAGGCGTCATTAGACTGCCCACAATCATGCCAACAATTGATCAGAACCTCATCAGTTGGTTCTTGGTCACCCCATGTATTGTTTTGGGTTGTTCTCCACGGTTTATACCTCAAAAGTTGGTACTTTGTGTGCCACTCAATGGGTTAACATGTCTTTTATTACAATATTGTTTGGGGAAACACCATATAAATTTATTACTGCAAAGCTTTCGATACGTAAGTCTGAATAATTATTATCTTATAGCACAGATGAAGATCCGGGCTTACGGATCAAAAGCTTTGCAGTAATACATTTACGTGGTGTTCCCCCAAACCAATTATAGTATTATATGATTTATTGCCATGCAAAGCTACAAAGAACTTATGTCCAAGTTTATTATTGGATGTCAGAATTTTCCAAGAGGTTAAATGATAATGTTAAATCAGGAATAGCTCATAACACATTTCACTACATGACTTTATGTAGTGAAAATACATAAAGTCATGTTAGATTTATATCATTATAAACATTATAGGGTGATAAACAATACAAAACGTAAATATATTGTATCAACGATTGAACGTAATCTGTATACTGGCAAGGGCAAAACCTAGAGCTAGAGGTCTCAGGTGTATTATGATGCAGAATGCAGATGCTTGTCCTCAATGGGTTTTTTTCGGAATGAAGGTTAATTCTACTTAATTGTGGCCAATTCAAATCCAAATACAATTCAATAACTTGACGGATTTGATTAATATATTAGATTATAATTAAATACCTCGCTCGAAGATACTCCGTACAGTCTTGACATTTCTTTTAAGACCTGCTCGCCATGTTTATTTTTGAACACATCCTGCGCTTCTTTAATTGTGCCTTCTCCAATTTTACCGTGTTCAGCTCTGTAATGTTGTTCTAAACCTGCCTTTTTAAAAAAGGCAGTTTTATTTGTGCAGTCTTGGTGTGGGCAACAAACCTTATCTTTGGAAAATGCTTCCTGCCACGTCCTTAGAGTCGCCATTTTACTGCATTAAGTTTACAAGTCTCACGCCGCTTATTTATATCTGTTTATATTCAAGATTATGCAGAAATTTACTTGCTGACGTGACGCCGGCGCCATTTTTTTTACAAGATTCCGCAGGCCCTCTCGAAATCGTGACCTTCCCATGACGCAACGAGGGCCTGCGGAGGAGGCAGGGGTTAGGGTTAGAAAAGGGGTTGGGGATAGGTTTATATTATAAAAATTCAACTTTAACAATAGTCACTAGATTGCCGGCCATTTAGTATTTGATAAACCGTGACCGGCTGCCGGTCATATAGTCACTTCGTTAGAATAAGCTTTGGTATCCATTAATTGTAACACTTCGATATAGGACATTTGAGGCTTGACGAAGGAGAAGATAGAAGACGGGTTAATGTCAAGGTTGAGAGTCGAATCCAGCACATGCGACAATGTAGAGGTGTTGGATACATCTACCAGTGTATCACAAAGGGGAACATCTTTCGACATTAATCGACGACTTGCGTTCAGCTCTATTGAAACGGGGGCGGCTGCGGAGGTCTGGCTACACTGTGTACCATTATAACATGCCATGTATGTCAAAAACTGCATATTATAAACAATTATCTGGACCATTCTCCTAGTCGTAGAAAGAGAATGTCTGAATGAACTGAAAAGAGTGGGTGAAAAGGTTCCTAAACCTGATTTTTGAGCAACAGCGAAAGAGAAAAAGAGGCGTCAAGGGGAGAACTTATGTTGTACTAGAAGGGAAGAAGTATTGAAGGATGCTGAAGGTACCACATATGAAGCTGGTGCCTTCTAATTACCTTCAGCAAGACTTTGATTTTGAACTTATGTATATAGACCATACATTTACTCATTGTAAACAATCCTCAAACGTTAAAGCCGTTTTCTCAAAATCGCACATTTTACCCTTTGAGAAAGGATATCTCTAGAACGATTTAACCAATTGACATGAAATTTTCAGGATTTATGTATCTTACTATTTTCTTGGGGATGAACAGAGGATTTTTAAATATATATTTTATAACATGAATTATTGCATAAACATGTCAAGCAAATTTGTATGGTACATTTAAAACCTCGTAATCCGCTTAGTTTTCAAAATTTTCAAAAATCCTCTGTTCATCCCCAAGAGAATGGCAAGATACATATATCCTGAAAATTTCATGTCAATTGGTTAAATCATTCCAGAGATATCTTTACTCAAGCTCAGTCTATCACGAAACCGCATGTTGCCACTTTAACTGCCTGGTTGCCAATAGCAACGCAGATTTGGTGTCCAAAAATATATTTTTTAGAATCTTGAGTTCATTAGCTATCTGATGATATATAGTTTGCCAGAGGTTTATTGTAAAGTGTCCAGTGTGCAGCCTTTGTTCTGTGAGCCTTAGTTTTGGGTTGACCCTCCCCTTAACACTAGATTTTGTTTTAATTAGTAATTTATATGTTTTTGTGTTCACATTTACAGTTATAAAAAAGTTCTAAAAGTAAAAAAAGTTTTTTACTCTTGATATATACAAGGTTGCGTGAGTTTTTGCGAGGCATGGCGGATGTCCGGGGGGAGGGGGTCACTAATTCGGACAATGCCGGACAAGGGGGGGGGGAGGGGGTCTGAAAATCCATCATTTGGCCGGACATCCTTTGTGAATGGCCC